TCAATGGACACACGCCTCTCCCCATCAAGGCTGGGAGAGCCATAGCCACTACTTGAACTGAGACAGATTCCCACTACATACTCGAGTTGAGGGCCGGCTGCTCAAATCGACGTGAAGCGGGATGTCAGCAGATCTGGAATCGAAGCTGGAATCGTAGCGTTTGTCGGCATTAAACATGGCTGTTCATCTTAATAACGCATACGTACACTAGGACTTTTTCGACTACTCTGGGGACGTAATTGGCCTCAGGTGCATCCAGGCGGTGTCAGAAACGCGGTCATATACATCCAGGAAAGTCCTGAGATGTGCACTTCGATTGGGCTGATTAGATTGGATTGTAGTGTCTCGTAGGTTGACTCGAGTCAGCCGGTGGAGAGTCCACTATCGGAACTGCAGGGAGGATAGGTGTAGTGCAAGCGCCACGTGTCAAACCTCCTTTCCTCCCTCCCGACCTCCCGACCTCCCTACCTCCTTCCCTCCCTCCCTCCGTCCCTCCGTCCCTCCCTCCCTTCCTACCTCCTTCCCTCCCTCCCTCCCTCCCTCCCTTCCAGGTCGCCGCCTTCTTTACCGCCCGACGTAGGGTCTCCGTGTCGCATGAACCGCGTCACTAGAAAATCACTATGGCGGTGAACAGTGGCGGGAGGCACCGCCCAATCCCAAGAGTGCCAAATTGCACATTCTTAAGCCTTAGGAACGACATACAAGCACGATACTCGAGTCCAAAAGTACCAGACCAGATTGCACACCCTAGACCAAGAGCGCGAAATCTGCACAAGATAAAGCGAGAGCGCCAAATCTGCACATGCTAAAACGAGAGCGCCAAATTGCAAATTGCACATGGTACAGCAAGAGCGCGAGATCGCACGTCTAACCGTACACTCTGTACGGTGTGTGAATGTTCGCGAGGTACTGCTATGCTGGAAATGCCAAATTGCACATCCACAAAGGACTACTCCTTTCTCCACAACGTGTGTGACTGTGTGTGTCACGTGTTTGCGTGGCCCTACACATGAGGGGCTGTTGGCGTGCGTGTACTGTAATGTGGCTTTTGAACTGTGCCTTGGACGCGTTTGCATAGAAAGAACTGCCCTTGAAGGGGTCTACAGGAGACCCAGTTGCCCTTGATGGATCACGATTATGATCAGAAATAAGAATAAAGCCCAACCTGCAGGGCAAGTCAATATTGAGCGAGAGGGATTTGATCCCCTGCACCTGCTTCGGTCTGTGTACATTCAATTCGATTTGCTGACAGGGCGGGGCATCCAGTTGCAGAGCTCTCTGCACGGCAACACTGTAATCTCAATAGTCTCAAAGGACACTTCATCCAGCACAGTGTTTCGCTATGCCACCTTTGCCGGTCCTGTCGGTGCGACAGTGATGTTGTAGTCTTGTCTGTATCGTTCGAGTAACATAGTTCGTCTCAGGGGCAGACATAGAGAGAGAGAGAGAGAGAGAGAGAGAGAGAGAGAGAGAGAGAGAGAGAGAGAGGGTCGTACGTGATCAGGGCCAGGGAGCATTGCCTAATTCGGGATCAGGTAAGAGGTATTGGGGAGATGGAGTAGAATGACGTAAGGAGAACGGCAGAGGGACACAGAGGAAATACAGCCCACTATGGGAAAGTGGTGTAGCGTTGCTGGGCAGTCGTCCTCGGTGTGCACAAGGTCACGAAACGGAACAGCATTTTCAAATCCCGCTACAACTGGCACTTGTCGCCAACACGAACCGGCGGAGTCTGTGCTGCAGTTGTATGTATATATATTTTGACAACCAAACCCACCCGGATCGGTCCGTCTTGAATCGATCAGGGACTCCAGAACACGCACAGATTAAGCATGTTGATGTTATCTTCAAACTAAGCAAGCCACGGTCTTCGCTGGGATCATCCCGACTCATCCTTGCTTGTTTCAGGAGAAGTTGTCTACAAGCAAGCGAACGCACTTTTGTGTGTGCGTGCGTGCGTGCGTGTGTGTGTGTGTAAGAGAGAGAGAGACACAGAGAGAGAGAGAGAGAGAGAGAGAGAGAGAGAGAGAGAGAGAGGTGCATGTATGGAAAAGTGTCATCGATGTTGTTCGCTTGCCGATTAGATTGTGCGTATGTCGTTAGAGTTGGTGTTTTTCAAGGCCTATGCTGGTAAATTGGTAATGGACATAGAACCCTACCGGTAGCAGCTGCCCACAGGTCGTAAGGTAGGTGCCAGTAGGTGGGATCGTAGTTTAGGTGGGTGAATGTCGGAGAGTGAGACGGCGGGGGTGCTTTCGCACGAGAGTGCTGGAGACAGTGGCACGGAGGCGTGTCGGAGGGATCCCGGCCGACTGTGGCAAAGAGTAGAGGGCGGAAGGATGAGTTCCGAAAGGCCGGACTTGACAACTACTAGATCCGTCATGGCTGACGGTTATGATCCACCGTTTGTCATTCCGTTAGGCCCTGGCGAAGTACCGTTAGCTCTGGACGGCCGGGATGCCGGCACTCCCGATGAATGGGTCGCTCGTCATTCCGATCTAATCCGTTTGACCGGTCGACACCCGTTTAATTCAGAATCACCTCTCCCTCGTCTGCTTAGGTACGGATTCATCACTCCCTCTTCTCTGCACTACGTGCGCAATCACGGCCACGTGCCTCGTGGAGAATGGGACACGTGGCGCATCGAGATTCGAGGGGGGGCAGTGTCCTCCCCCACTTTTTTGACGATGGATGATATCGCTACGAAGTTCCCGCCAAGGACTTTGCCTGTGACTCTCGTTTGCGCGGGAAATAGACGTAAGGAGGCCAATATGGTCAAGCAAACGATCGGGTTTAATTGGGGTGCGGCCGGTTTGAGCACCGCGGTCTGGAAGGGAGCCCGATTGAGAGATGTGCTCAATTGCTGCGGCGCTGATCTGTCCACGGAAGGAGCTGCCGGCAGGCATGTGCGTTTCGAAGGTGCGGAGCTTCTGCCAGAAGACGGTGGGACCACGTACGGAACCAGCTTGAAGTTCCACGTGGCGATTGACGAGGCCTCCGACGTGCTCTTGGCGTACGAGATGAACGGGGAGAAACTACCTCCCGATCATGGGTATCCACTTCGGCTAATTGTGCCCGGGCACATCGGCGGGAGGATGGTGAAATGGCTCAGGCGGGTCGAGGTATCAGAGAAGGAAAGCAGTAATTACTATCACTTGCATGACAACAAGGTGTTGCCGACGCACGTGGACGCGGGCAGAGCAAAATCCGAAGGTGAGTGGCTGAGGGCCTGAGGCAAGACCTGCACTTACCTCTCTATGTAAGCAAAGTCAGCGAAATGTGAAGGTGAGTGCACGGTGGAGTGCACGGGGTCTGTTCTTCGGTGCAGTATAGCGGCGTCAAGGGAAGCCCCTCCAACCCTGCACATCGGAAGTACTGTGACGAATGATCAAGTGATTCAAGTCAGTGCCCCTTCATGAGAGAAACACTGAGTTGAAGATTTCTTTCTGCTTTTTTTAAAAACGTCGTGTGCTTAACTTGCCGGAGTGTTCAGACGATCCACTCAGTTGAGGATGGACTCCCCACTGCGCGAAGGGAATTTTGGAGCTTGGCACCGTTTGCTTGACCCGATGGTTCGACAGGAGACACTTCTCTCATCCCCCTGCATCTCTCTCTCTCTCTCTCTCTCTCTCTCTCTCTCTCTCTCTCTCACACACACACACACACACACACACACACACACGGCTGCAGCCTGCAGGGCGATGAGAGAAGAGTCTCCGGTCGACCCATCCGTTCAAGCTAACGGCGCTGAGATCCAAAGTTCTCTTCGCGCGGCGAGGAATCCATCCTCAACTGCGTGGATCGTCTGCACATCAGTTTAAGCACAGATGGGGAAAGAGTACTTCGCTCAAGAAGGGGTAGTGACGTGAAACACTCGATCATTCGCCGCAGCACTTACGATGTGCAGGGGGTGGAGGGCTTCCCTTGACAACGCTACACACACCGAAGAACTGACCCCGTGCGCTCACCTTTTTTTTAATGTATAGCAAACATAAACATACCTCCCCTCCCCCCGGTCCATAAATCCATCTCGGTCATGTTCGAGCTTGCTGCTGTTTCTGTGTGTGCATTCTCTTTTTTTTGTTGTTGTTTTTCCTGTCTGCGCGCGCGCGTGTGTGTGTGTGTGTGTGTGTGCGCGCGCGCGTGCGTGCATGCGTGCCTGTGTTTGGGTGTTGTGTGTGTACACCTGATCGTATGTGTGCGTTCAACGCATTGGCAGTGTTCATCATAGGGGAAGTGTCGTTTAGTAATGCTAAGCGAAGATTTGTCCTAACGAATGCACTCTATATTTGATTGCTCTACTTGGTATGGAAACGCGCGGATCGAACTCTGGTGACTCGTGTATGGTAGTGTGTCTTCTGTGCTTACATCTACCGCATCCTTTCTGCTACCTTCGGTTCGACTCGCAGAAGATCTGTAACACAGCAACAGGGGGTGCGGAGGAGAAGGCGGCATCCAGTTAACGCGCGTAGACCCCATGGCAGAGGAGTGGGAACCGCCGTGATTGGTTCCTGTGGGGTTCACCACGGGCCAGTAAATTTAAATTCGGAAATTGTTTATGGCTCTGAGAAATGCGCAATTGTCATCCTTGCGCAGGGGCCATGCTAATCTTCTCTGTATCGTTCCAATTTTAACGGATGACATTGTCCCGAAGGACGAAATGCGCGATTGTCTTATCTCAGTATCAATGATGCTTACATAACGGCTTTACATGCCCTACATTCAACGTCTTGGATCCAGCAGCCTAGCTCAGTTGGTAAGGCACGCAAGTGGCATTCAGGAGGTCTTGGGGGTTCAATCCCCATTGGCCTCATGTACCTTCCTGGGCAAGCTTGGCGCCCGCCACCTAGAGTTACGCCGGTCCTGATCGTACCCGCTGACCCCTGGCCCGTATCGCCCACCTGCTGTAGCAGGTATCGCACCTGCTGGTGGGTGCAGCTCCCGCATGTTCCCTCGTTGGAGGCTTGAGCACGGGTGTGGCTGCTACGGGTTCCCCGTAATACTATGGGGCTTGCCACACTTTTTTTTTTTTTTTTTTGACTTATGGGGCTCGCCACACAGGCTTTCGAAACGCGCAAAATCGATGCCGTGTCTTTGCCGCACAGCCTTTCTTGAAACAAGTTCTTTTGAAAAAGTTTTTTCAGATTGGCCCAAAAAAAAACAAAAAAAAATGTCATTTCAAAGAGATGAGATCCTGCCGCCTGTCACGACCATTTCCTCGAAAGACCTCAAGTGGTAGAGATGAGATCCTCCCGCCTGTGACGAGCGTTTCCTGGAAAGACCTCGAGTGGTCTTGCCGAAAGGCCCACTCGAAACGGTCTATTGGCAAAAAAAAAAAAAGGAAAAAAAAGGGGCCATTCCAAGGGCCTGGCTCCACTACTCTCCACATGCACAAAAGACAAAAATTATGGTGGTGTATTTTTCCATGTTCTATGCAAAGATTCACACACTGAGTCTCTCGTTTTACACCCGTAAAGAGTAGTGGAGCCAGGTCCTAACGTGCATATAGAAAGGCCTCGCTGTTTCGAAAGTCTGTGTGGCGAAGGGGGGGTTCCTTTCGACGAGCAGCCTTTCGAAAAAAGTCGGACACCTTTTTGAAAGCCCTATCCAGGTTCGACAGGTATTTGAATTGGTTAGCTTTTCCAAAAAAAAAAAAAAAAAAAAAAAACATCTTTGACGGCTGAGGTCTGCCGGTTCGTCGAGTCTCATCAACTAAAATATCATTCCGTTGAGTTTTTGAACAAAAACACAAAAATTTCGAAAAAAAATTCGAAAACTAAAGGCCCAAATTTCGAGAAGAAATTGACCGATCTCATTATCAGGCCTTGAGTACCAGCCTCAGGGGCACGGTCCCACTAGCAACGGGATAAGCCTTAGTTATATCCCTGCAACATGTGTTTTCCTAATTAAATCAGGACAACTTAGTAGTTCGATCCATTAGGGCGGGCATTCCACAGAGATCTGAGGGCACTGCTTTTTTCATCAATTGTTTGGTTAGTATCCCGTTTTTCATGTTTTGCAATGAAAATGGATCCCCCTCTCATTGGCCATGCATTAAAAAAAGTAAAGGGCAACGGCTCCTGAGTCGCGGGAACAGTTTCGAATAGGCAAAAAAAACACCTATAGGCAGGTCTACCACGGCCCACGTTTAGAATAGGCAACTGTAATTCAGACCGGCGCTTGGGGCATGGTCAGTGTTTGGTTAGGCAGTTTTGTCACTGTGTGGACTGGTTCCTTCCCGGTACCCCGCCGGTCCACTCCGGTCCACTTTATTGGAGACGTTGGGTGGGTGGGGGAAACCCCACGATCCCAATCTTTGGGACCGGCAGCCAACGTTCCCATTGGCGGGTGGACGTACCCGTGAGCAAAAAAAAAGAAAAACATCCCGTGAGTTCAGGGCCGATTCACCGCTCTCTCTCTCTCTCTCTCTCTCTCTCTCTCTCTCTCTCTCTCCCCCCTATCTTTCTTTCTCCCCCGCCCCCCTCCAAGTCGTGCGTGCCCTCCCCCTTCCCGCGGCAGTCCCGTCTTCCCCCGTGTGCACGATGCCGTGACGACTCACCTACATTTCGGCTGAACCCGGCCCGAAAGATTGCTTGTGTTGCCTACCGGGAAGGATGACGGGATGAAGATGGGCGCGTCTTGTCGTATGTGCGCAACAACCCATATGATTGGATGCATGAAAAAGAAAAACGCAGAAAATAAACAAAGAAAAAGAAGGAAAGAAAGAGAGAGAGAGAGAGAGAGAGAGAGAGAGAGAGACATGCTTAGCCTATGCTATGAACCTCTTCAATGTGTTTTCTTCCCTGGCTGTTACGTTCATTTTTGGACGAATCTGGCCGCATCTATTGGTTATATTCAGTAGAACTGAATATGACGCAAAATTTCATCCAGCAATGAACGCAGCCCAGCCTGCAGAGAGAGAGAGAGAGAGAGAGCTCAGGGGCCATACGATGCTACGAACCTCTTGAATCTCGATTCTTCATTTTTGGACGAACCTGGCCACATTACTGGTTACATTCAGTCGAACTGAATACACTGCAAATTTCATCCCGCAGTGAACACAGCGCAATGCGCGCAGACACAGAGAGAGAGAGAGAGAGAGAGAGAGAGAGAGAGAGAGAGAGAGAGAGAGAGAGAGAGAGAGGGAGAGAGAGATCTGAGACTCTCTCTCTCTCTGTGTGTGTGTGTGTGTGTGTGTGTGTGTGTGTGTGTGTGTGTGTGTGTGTGTGTGTGTGTCATATTCGCTCTACACTCAAAAAAAGCATGACTATGCCATGTGATACACTCAAAAAAAGCATGACTATGCCATGTGTGTGAATCAGCCCCGCAGTTCGTAAGAAGTGAAAGCTAAGCGCGCCTCACCACCTTTTTTTTTTTTTTTTCCTTTCCATTTCTTGATTTATGTGTGTCATCCCTGCATAGGGGCCATGCTAATCTTCTCAGTAGCGTTCCAATTTCAACGGATGTTCCAAAGCACCGCACCTAACCACATAAGCAGGCCGATACAATACAAAAAGAGGGAAAAAAAAAAAAAGAAAAACACCCTCACTATGTCGAGTGTATATGACCGCGTGCACGGTTCCATACATTTGAAACAAAGATTAGGGCAGTCCCGACCCCAATCTCTCTCTCACCCCCCCCTCCCTCCCTCTCGTTGCACTGCCACGTCCCACCCCAATCTCTCTCTCCCCCTCGCTCCCTTTCGTTGCACTGGCACGTGGCTGCGCTGAATCAAGCGACTCTCTCTCTCTCTCTCTCTCTCTCTCTCTCTCTCTCTCTCTCTCTCTCTCTCTCACACACACACACACACACACACTGGCACGTGGCTGCGCTGACTCTCTCTCTCTCTCTCAACCCCCTGCCCCTCCCTCTCTCCCTCCCCCCCCTCCTTCCCTCCCTTCTCCCGATGTTGGATTCGTGGGCTAAGTGGGCTCCGCACCTCCCGGTGGCGATGTCCACAGTGCCCCGTTGCTGATGTCCGCAGGGCCTGGTCCGCCATGCTCCGGGCGCGGCCTGGGACAGGCGTTTTGTGCCTATTTTGCGAATTACAAACAACAGCCTTCATGTGCCTGCCGAGTGATGTTGTCTTTGCCTTTTCTAACTACAGCGGAGTGGAGGCTGCGATTTGATGTTTTTTCTGCCTTTTCAGACTAAAAAGGTGACTCAGGAGCAGTTTCCCCAAAAAGAAAAGAAAACGCATTCGGAGGGGGGTCTTCCCTCTAGACCACTTTTCTTTTGGGTGGAGGGCAGTCACGAGTTCCATTCAGAAAAGTGGCATATATATAATGAATTTCTAAAATATTATGAGTGGGCA